GTCTCGACCCGCTGATCAGCCCACAGACGACGTGTTCACTGTAAGCTTCATTTGTGTGAACTAGTGTGAGTGTAGGCTAGTCATCGCCTTCCTCTTCCTCCTCCTTCCTCCTTCCTTTTTCCTTCGTGTATTATCGTCTGTTGTTTCATTTATTGCCGTCCCCTTCCATCCTCCTCTTTTTATTTATTTATTTATTTATCTAACAGTAAGTTTATCTATTCACTTCTTTATATCTTTCTCCCTTATACCACCACCCTTTTAAGTCGAGCGGGGGTCCTCCCAAATGGCCAAGAAATCTAAGAATGATGATAATACTTCACTGAGAATCTCGAGGGATCGTGGGCGGGAGAGGAAGTCCTTAAAGAGGATCCCTGGAGGCGTAAATGGGTCCGTCCTTGAAGTGAGGAAGCGAGCGGCGATCGCAGGATCTCTCGTATTTATTTCTCCACCTTGAGCCCTGTTTTTCTTTTCTTTTCTTTTCTCTGGCGCAAGGGGGGGGGGGCGTTTAGTCTCTGTTTGTTCGCTCTGGTGCGCGCCGGGAATGTCACGTTAGCGAATGGGGGTGTGGGTGGGGGAGGGGTTGGGACTGTAGGGGAGCGGGAGAGGAAGGGGATGTTGTGTGTGTCTGTGATGAGCGAGCTTTTTGAGGGCGTTTTTTGGGGTGGGAGGGAGGTGGGAGTGAGGGACGCGCTTATTTTTGAGTGGGAACTGGGTAACTGTGAATGTGAGAGAGAGTGAGAAGTGCATATTTTTTTAGTCCAACGGATATTATTTTGTTGAAGTTCGTAATGAATTCAATGATGGCACACACACACACGCACTCAAACAAACACGCAAACACACTTACATCTGTTATATGCCCACGGTCTCGTCGAAAAATTGTTCCGGCGGCAGATAATCGATGGAGGCCACAACAGATCCGTGGCCGTCGGGAGAGGCCACAATGGCCCTCGCCGCCGCCCCCTTTGACGCGGGATTGGTCGCGGTGGCGCCCGCAGAGGGACCCTTTATTCTCCGCGCCCGGACTCCGTCGTGGGCGGAGAGGGGAGGGGGAGGGTGAAGGGGGAGAATCACAGCTGCATCCTTCTCCCTCTTGTGACCTTAGATTTGACCTTTGACCTCGCTTTTCCTTCTTCCTATTAGTCTTTCTCTCCTCTTTTTGTCTTTATTTATACCTTACATCTCTCTCGCACGCAGCTCCCTCCCAGTAGAGCTGATAAACCGCCCTTCACAAAGGCACGGCCGTCGACCATTTGACTTAACCCAGTGGCCGGCGAGGGCGCTGTCGGCGGCACTGGGCGCCCGGACCCGTGAAACGCCGTCCGTCTCGCGAGTGACGCGCGGGCGTGCTGGAGCTCTTAATGCGTGAACGACAGCGTGACGTGTTTACAGCGCTAATCTCGGCACAAACAGAAAAGAACAAAAAAAATATCGTAGTTCTAAAGCGCGGCCGTGGATCCGCCGGGCGCGAGTCTAACTCGGCGTGAAATATCCCAGTCATGGCTCCAGGCGAACCGCCGCGAAGTGGACGTGGTTCGATTTTTAAACTTTGTCGGTGTTTTTTTCATGAGAGATGAATGGGGGGGGGGGTTAATGACGTGAATATTTTTTTTCGCAAGAAACGTGAATGAATTCGTGGATGAGATCATTGATTTATCTTTATATGTGTGTGAATGTGTGTATGCATGTGCGTGCGTGTGTGTGTGTGTGTGTGTGTGTGTGTGTGTGTGTGTGTGTGTGTGCGTGTGCGCACTTGTTTGTGTGCGCACTTTTGTGTGTGCTTTTCATTGACCGCATTCTTGCCTTGCTCCAAGCTATGCTGTGGTGTCTGTGAGAGGATGTTAAAACCCTCATGGGAATGTAGAGCTTATACATACATTTAAACTCATACTCGTTCATTCATCTATTCATTCCAATATCTCTCTCTCTCTCCTCTCTCTCTCTCTCTCTCTCTCTCTCTCTCTCTCTCTCTCTCTCTCTCTCTCTCTCTCTCTCTCTCTCTCTCTCTCTCTCTCTCTCTCTCTCTCTCTCTCCCTCTCTCTAATTTGCTCACTCTATCTATCTCTCACGATATATATATGAATATATATATATATATATATATATATATATATATATATATATATATATATATATATATATATTGTGATATATATATCATTATGTATATGAAACTATATTCGCTCTCCCACTCCTCCCTCCCTTCTCCCATGCTCTCCTCTCTCCCTCCCTCTCTCTCTCTCTCTCTCTCTCTCTCTCTCTCTCTCTCTCTCTCTCTCTCTCTCATTGTCTCCTCCATCGCATCCCCCCCATATAGCAGTACCTTCCGCTCGCCATGTGTGTTCCCATGAATATTATGAAGCAATGATATTCACGCGCCTTACCTGGTGGTTCCCCGGCGCTGCTAACGGTCCAGTGTTATGACCAGAATAACAAAGCGTAGGGGGCTGATGCAACATCCCCGTGCACTCACCCACTCGCCGAGCTTGTTGGTTGTTGCAAGCTCTTGGTGGCCGATGAAAAACGCTTTCGTGGCGTTTGGGAGAAGGTGCCTGTCGCTCTGCATTAAAGCCTTTGCACGGTTGCGTCTGTCAGCGGGTCTCTCTCTCTCTCTCTCTCTCTCTCTCTCTCTCTCTCTCTCTCTCTCTCTCTCTCTCTCTCTCTCTCTCTCTCTCTCTCTCTCTCTCTCTCTCTCTCTTCTCTCTCTTCTCTCTCTTCTCTCTCTTCTCTTTCTTCTCTCTCTTCTCTCTCCTCCCTCCCTCTCTCCCTCTCTCAATGTATCTGTCTACCTGTCTATTTACCTATCTCTCTAGATCTCTGTTTGCATATCCATTCCTCTGTCTATTGAAACTTGAAATGAATTTGCTCCTTTCCTCCCTCTCCCTCTCCCAATCTTTCCGTCTTCCCCTGCCCTCTCCCCCCCCTCTCCCTCACCCTCTCCCACCTGCCTTGCACCACGTCATGCAGAGCGGGCGCCCTGAGTGCCATCGGGAGCGCGTCGCCTGAGCCGTGTGAGGATGAGTCGCGCTGATCTCCTCCGCCGCCGTCGTCTTCCGCAGACCGAGAGTGGGGGGGGGGCGTTACACCCGGGAATCAAGGGCGGGGGGAGCGTTTCAGGAAGTGTGAGTGCGTGCGTGCGTGTGTTTGTATGACACACCGATCGTGTTGACATTTGTTCTTGGCCGGGCATTCTCTCTCGGTTGTCAGTTGCGGCGAAGTTCTCTCGCATTCTGCGCTTATTCTCGATTCTTACCTATCTGTCTTTATCCCATTCTTTTAGCTATCTGTTGATCGATCGATCCATTTCTCTTCCTCTCTTTCTGCCTCTCATGCATAACGCCGTAATGAGTGAAGCATGAGGCGAGCGTTACCATGTCACGCTCCTGGCGCCAGTCACGCCCGCTACAAGGACAGTGAGGAGGCCGGGGGCGGGAAGGGGGATGGGGTTGGGGGTCATGACGTCACATCCCCCTCTCCTCGTCGCCGTCACATCTGGGCGCGTGTGACATGTGCACCCATGTACCACACACGATGCTACAAGTCAGACACAGATAGATAAACAAACAGACAAGGTTAGAATGTCTGTGTATTTCGATATTCGTGACTGTATTTTGTATGTATTCATAAGTATTTGTATAAGTCTTAAAACTCATCATGCGTCATGGGAAATCAGCGAACACATCTCTTTTAAGCTCCGCATTACAACTCCAGTCATGCAGAAGCTTACACGGGGGTGTGAGGACGGCCTTGACTGACGGCCAGCATGGTCTTAAAAGTTTCTTAAGATACTGCTGCTCCACCTCCTCCTCCACCTCCCTCACCTCCTGCTGCTGCTACTCCTCCTCCTCCTCCTCATAATCCTCATAATCCTCCTAATCCTCCGAATCCTAATCCTTGCTATCACCATTATCATTTTCCTTCCGGGCTCTGAGACACGGGGTACATCCGCTGGGCGAGAGTGGGTGTGGTTCCGCCTCGATTTGGGGCGGGGGTGGGAGAGATGATGTAATGTAAATTGCGGTTATATAAAGATATAATGCGAATTCACTGTGGTTTCTGGGCTTGTAGGATATGTATATATGGGTTTAATTATTTATAGTCACGCATATTACACCAGTGTGTATTTGTGTATATATATTTATATGTGTACATATATACATATATGCATATATGTATATATATGTGTGTATATATATATATATATATATATATATATATATATATATATATATATATATATATATATATATATATATATATATGACAGGCGAAGGGTAGTGCTGTCAGCAGGCCATTCTAGAAGGGAAAGGCAGACTGCAAGGTCACAGCGGCACCGCTCTTTTATCAGATAACATTGTCCGCGGCGCTGCAGGTATGCCAGGCGGGCGTCACAAGCGGGACGCCGTGCATTGTGTCGCGCCCGCAGCCTTGCGACGCATCGCGGGAGAAATGCGGCGCCAAGGAGGGGGGGAGGGAACGATGCCGCCTTGCTTTGACGCCTGCGTGTGGATACTGCTGGACAAGCGGGGGCTGGCGGCCTGGGCTGAAGGGGTTGGGCATGGCTGGGGTCCGAAAGCCGAAATTGGCTTGTGTATTGTGGCTTGTTAAGTCACCGCGTGGATGCGGTGGCTTCCGTTCATCTGGCAGTGGCTTGGCAATCTCCTGGCCGCGTTAGTGTCTCATATTTTACGCTAAGGTGCTTACAAATATTGTTGTGACGCTCTAAACGATCGAAGTGCATGCTAACCTCCTTTTAGAGGTTGGGGTTGGTGGGGGGGGGGGGCAAACGATCGACGGAGTTCTAGGGGTTAGTGGGGGGGGGGGCAACGAGCGACCCTATTGTTTGCGGAGGTTGGATGGCCTGGGTGCTCGCCTCGCCCTCGGCCGACCCATAACGAGCGCAGACGAGGCCTTGTTAGCGGACGTCGCGAAGGGCAGATGAGGGCGAGTGCGTTTCGCGAGGGGAAGGTGCGAGTGTTCTAATCCAGCGATCATTACAGGTAAACATGGCAGGAAGCCCGAGCAGGTAGCGTGACCAGGACACTGCGCTGGGCGTTGCCTTTCAAGACGCTCTCGACAAGTTGAACCGCCTCAACTGTCTCGTAGATGCGTCTTCGTCACACTGAACGCAAAAAATTGAGTTACTGAAACTGAAAAATATTTACGAAGTGAAATATTGACTAGAAAGGACTTGGAAAAATCTAAGTGTGATGGTGTCAAGAATAGAACAATACTAAAAAAAGAAAACACTTGAATCACCATGCGCATGCGGAGTCGTAGCGTGGCGGTGCCCTCTGCTGCTCACAATAACAATAACCACCACAACCTTAACAACAACAACAGTCACGTCAGCAGCGCGGCCACCACCGGCGCCTCTCGGAGTGTTCTCAACATCCCCGGTGAGCTGAAGCTGCACTACTCCGAGGTGGTGAGTGTGGCCGAAAAGCTCTCCCGGCTCTTCTCGCGCACGCACACCTACCATGTGCACCGCAGACACAAGACGCTGCGGCAGGAGGTGAGTCTGGAGAAGGGGGAGGAGGAGAGGAGATGAGAGGAGACCGTAGATAGAAAGAGAGGAGGACAGAGACCGTAGATAGGAGGAGGGGAGGGGGATAGAGACCGTAGATAGGAGGGGGAGAGGAGGATAGAGACCGTAGATTAGATAGGAGGGGGAGAGGAGGATAGAGACCGTAGATAGGAGGAGGGGGGGGGAGAGAGACCGTAGATAGTAAAGGGAGAGAGACCAGTATATCAGAGTAGGAGAAGGAGGGGAGGAAGAGAGAGATCGTATGTAGGAGGAGGAGGAGAGGGATAGAGACCGTAGATAGGAGGAGGGGGGAGAAACCAGTATATCAGAGTAGGAGAAGGAGGGGAGGAAGAGAGAGATCGTATGTAGGAGGAGGAGGGAGAGCGTTGATAGGAGGAGGAGAGGAGGATGGAGACCGTAGATAGGAGGTGGAGAGGAGGATAGAGACTAGTAGATAGGAGGAGGAGGGGAGAAGAGAGAGACCGTAGATAGGAGGAGGAGAGAGACCAATAGGAGAAAGAGGGGAGGAGGATGGAGATCGTAGATAGGAGGAGGAGGGAGAGCGTAGATAGGAGGAGGAGGAGAGGAGGATAGAGACCAGTAGATTGGAGGAGGGGGGGGGTAGGAGGAGGAGGAAGATGGATGAGGGAAGAGGAGGAAGGAGGATGAAAGGCGTGTTGGCACGGCAGGTGAGTAGAGTGAATGAGCGTTCATGCGGGGTGCGGGCGGCGCGCATGCCGTCCGGGGCAGCCTACGGCATATGGCAGGAAAGGAAGACTTGCTGTTCGTGGAAAATTCTTTGCGAGAGTCCGCATAGTTGGAGGCGCACATCACGAGGAGGTCGCGTCGGGTGAAGGTCAGGAGTGAGTCCTTGTACGGCGGCAATCGAGGCCCCTTGACCCGACTCGCGGGGCACGCTGACCTGCGTAGTATGCGCCCTCGCCCACGCTGCCAGGGCGTGTGCCAACGCTTGGGCGGGGGCGCGAAGAGGTGCATTGCTGGGAAGGGCAGGTTAACGGGGACAGAGAGGTGAGGACATAGATGCACATGCGTTCATATGAACAGAAAACACATACGCGTTCATACGCACACAAACACACACACACACACACACACACACACACACACACACACACACACACACACACGCGCGCGCGCGCGCGCGCGCACGCACACGCACGCACGCACGCACGCACGGACGCGCACACACACACACACACACACACACACACACACACACACACACACACACACACACACACACACACACACACACACACACACACACACACACACACACACGCGCGAGGCAAATGGAAAGGCCAGGGCGGCGCAATGCAATCCCAAACAAACATTCCAGCCAACACGCACCAACACACGCATGCATCGGCGGCCGCGCGGCAGTATGTCCGCCGCCGCCGCCGCGAGGGGATGTCTGCGCTGGTGCTGGGGCAGGTGGGAGAGACTTCTGCGCGACGCCCTTGTGTTTTCAGCAAAGCGAGGGTTTCGACGAGTGAGGCTTAGAGGTGGACTCTGGCGGCGCGGGCACGTCGGATCGGCCGCATGCCCGTGTGCAAGACTTTCGTGTGTCCGTGTGTGAGCGAGGAGGCGTTGTTGACATGTGCGCGGTGAAAATCTGTGTCATGCACTGAGGTGTGGTTCGGCGAACGACTGTTTTCAGCCTGCGGGACGGCCAGCGAGACGTAAAGGGACCTGTTTACACGCCCAAGATTTTCTCTCGGCTGTTTACCGAGTGCATTTTCACATACATGCGAGATATTATTTGGGTGTGTGTATGAATATGTAAGGGAACACAAAGTGTGCAGCGGGCTTGTCTCGAAACTCCCTCGCCTCCTTGCCAGACGGCCATTGCAAAGGGACTCCTCCTCGGGGTATGGCAGAGGCCGGAAGTCGTCCATGGAGATCTGGGCGTGGGGGAGAAGGTGAGGTTGTAGGAGGAGGGGCGAGGGGGAGGCAGCAGCAGCAGCAGCAGCACGCGTCACCTCACCGAACCACAGCTATCACTTGCTCAAGATTTTCACTGTCCCGTTGAAGACCTTTGAGAGAGAATCGTATGGACTCGAGCAGCATTTGGAAGGGACTGTGTTTGCCATTTTGTCTCGCGTCGTTTTGTTCTTTTTCTGTTGCCAGCAAGAGGGAGGATCCGGTGTGTCCAGCTGCTGTCTTGTGGCTGACGCGTTGAGGTCGCCCGGTTGGTGTGAGTGTGTATGTGCGTGCGCCTGTGCTCTTTTGTGTGCTTGTGCGTGTTTGTGTTTGTGTTTATTTTTAGATGTATTTGGCGTGTTTGTTTGTATGCCTTTTCTATTTTTGTGTGCCTACGTATGTGTTTTCTATGTATGTGTAAGTATTTGTGTTTGTATGCCTTGTTTTCTGTATGTGTTTACATGTGCGTGTTTTTGTCATACATGTTGGCTATTGTATAGTGCATGTCCAAGAGGGAGGATTTGGCAGCGAGGCGTCATGCAGCGGACCGTTGACCTCGCCCTTTCTCGTCTCATGCACATCCTTGTGGATCTAGCCGCCTCCCTCCATCTCCTCCCCCCCTCCCACTCCTCCTCTTCCCTTCTCGTCTCTCCTCTTCCCTCCTTCCTCTCCTCTTCCTCTTTCCTCCTCCTCTCTCATCTTCCTCTTTCCTCTTCCTCTCTCCCTCCTTCCCCTTCCCCTACACGGTCCTTCGGCTCTGACCATGCACTCAGCAAAGGTCGCAGAAGAATAAGGATACGATTTTTAAAAATCAGCCGTGTTCTGGAGAGTCGTCAGTGATTCCGTGGCGAGCTGTCAGTATCGCACTGTTGGTATCGCTGTGTTATAATTCCCTTCTTAATACAACTTAATCATTAAACGCTCACTCTCTCGCATACTCACTCATTCGATCACTCACATACTTGTATATTTATTCACTCAAACACACATTCAGTCAGTCCCAAACATAGACTCAGTCACACGCCCACCCACACACGCCCACACACACACCCATGCGAAGGCATTTCCTCACGGTTGATGCCCTCGGTGGCCGGCCTCCCATAGCCCGTGGGCCCAGGGAGCTCCTGCAGTATCCTTCGTCTTTGTGAGGACGCTCTGCCTAAGCTGGCTTGGCCGCGTTCCATTTTTTTATGTCGCGCTTGATTTTTTTTCGATGCGGTTTTGTGTTCGTTAGGTGTTCCGTGTACATATTTAGTGTTTCTTTAATGCTGTATGCGTGTGTTCTTGTGGCATTTTTGTTTGTGTGGCTGTGTATTCTTAACTTAGCGTAAATATTTTGTTTAAGTTTTTCCTTTTCATATTCATGTCTGTCCGCATGCATCCAGTTCATAACACTAGAACTAACGCCCCCCCCCCCTCCCGCAGCCATCGAACTCGTGGGTGACCGTGCACAACCTGAAGCAGCTGGACGGAGGCATCCTCGACCCGGACGACCGCCTCAACGACGTGGCCGACGACCGGGAGCAGATCATAGCCATCTACGATGAGCAGACGCACCATCACCACCACCACGGCGGAGACGGCACCTCGGCGTCCTCGGACTCGGAAAACCCTTCGCCAGATATTTTCCAAGTGAGTTTTGATTGTTGCTCTCGAGTTCTCTTTTCTGGAGGGCGAGGACTGGGGTCCTGAGAAGGGGTTCTAGGTGAGGTTTGGTTTTTTAGGAGGGGGGTGGGGTGAAAAGCGTCTGCCTTGTTGCAAGGGGCAGAGTGGATTACATACTTTGAAATTCTGAAATTATAGAAGGCCGTGTTCCACATGCTCGCCACCAAAGCATGGAGCTTTGGTGGTCTGCCGTGAGAAATAGGTGGTGGCGTTCTTGCTGGTTTTATGCTGGTACTTTTCTCTCTTTTGGACCCATCTATCGTAACTTCCTCTCTGGCTCTAAATTCTACTTCGCCTTAACCCCCCCCCCCCCAATGCCCTGACCCCTGGCCTCCCCGCAGGGCGTGGAGCACAAGTTCGCGCCGTTCACCCGCAACGACATCGAGATCACCGGCGAGGAGCTGAGCGCCACGCCGCCGCCGCTGCACGTGCGCCGCGGGAGCGAGCCAGCGCTCAACCGCCTGTCGCCCATCCCGCCCGCGGCCGCCGCCCCGCCCGACCCGACCAAGAGGTGGTCGGCCGCGCCCATCATCGAGGACCAGAATGCGCCGCCCAGCTCCACGCCCATGAAGATGGTTGTAAGTGTGGCGCCGGGAATCCCGAAATTCGTTTGACTTTTTTGAAGTTTCTTGTGGTTGGCTTGTTTGTTTCGGTTTGATTAATGAATTATTATTTGTTTAATATTTATATTTTATTCGTTTTTCCTATTTAGATATTGAATCATTGCTTGGCTTTAACTATCTCAAGCATGACTATGGGACGTGTCTTGTAGAACTTTTAATAATATTATTATTATATCGATTGATATTATCAATCATTATAGCCACCATCAAACCTACTCTAAGCTCTCACAGCCCACAAAGTTCATTAACTCATTCCCGTCTTCCCCTTCTTTCTTCCCCCTCTCTCCCCCCCGTTTATCTACTTAGATTCCCCACCTCTATGTCCAGGACGGCCACAGCTCCTACGAGGACGACAACGTGTTCGTGGACCCTGGGGAGAGGGGGGAGGGCTCGGGGGAGGAGAAGACGCCCTCCTCCTCCTCCTCCTCCTCCCACCACTCCGCCACCACCGCCTTCACCAGATTCTCTAGAGACACCAATAGATGTTCTGTTCAGGTAGTTGCAGCGCTTCTAGATACTCGTGTCTTTTTTCTGCCTGTTTGTTTTTCAGTTGTTTCTTGTCTCTTTTGTTTTTTTCTGTTTGGTTTTAAGACATGCTAGGTATTTACGTTTCCTCAAAGGCTCAGCAGAGCTTTGGAACTTTAGAGAATGTTGTGAATGCAATTTATATTTACATTTTCGTATTTCGTTCCGTTACCTTATTGAAGATTGATAAGCGTCGTCTTTAAGAGTCTCAGGATGACGATTGTTTTGTTTCCGCGCAGGTACTGTCCGACAACCCGGCGATGGCGCGGTGGGCGGACGCGGCGGACCGAGTGGTGGGCACGAGCGAGGGCAGGCGGCGGGAGCCCCTGGGAGGGTCAGCCTCGTCCCCCATGCACTCCAGGGACCCCTCGCACGACGAGGCGGCCAACAGGTCGGTTCTCTTCTGGAGATGCACGGGGTCGAGCTCAGCTCTCCTACGGGCTTTCTGTAACTTATTTGTGAAGGCGTTTGGATGTATATTTGTCAGAATACCATAAAATTGCGAGATATTCATACAGTTGAACACAAAAGCACGGGACCCAAAGTAATTTCGCGGTGTGGCTTTGCAGCATCCTCGTGGTGCTGAGCAACGACCGAGGCCCGCTGGGCATCCACGTGATCCCGAGCACGGACGTGACGGGGCACGACCAGGGCCTGCTGGTGGAGGGCGTAGAGCCGGGCGGACGGATCGCCCGCGACGGGAGGATCGAGGTCCATGACCGGATCATCGAGATCAACGGGAAGCCGCTCAATAACATTACTTTCCAAAAGTGAGGAGCGACTCTCGTTGAAAGGCTGATATAAAGGCGAATGTGCATTTGAAGTTGTATAAGCAAAAAAAACGTTTGATCTGTTTTTAGTTTTTATTGTTTTTATTGTTTCCTGCAGGGCTCAAGAAATTTTCAAAGACGCCATGTTAACGCCAGAACTTCGACTGCGTGTTGTCAAAGGCCAGAGGCAGGAGTGGTACGCGGGGCAGGCCGCGGAGCTGGTCGAAGGAGAGGAAAAACGTGAGGACATCCGTCATTTTTTTGTGTTAGCAATTTGTCAGAAAGAAAATGGTCATATTCCAGCTTCATTTAAAGGAAGGAAACCAGGGAAACGGGCTTGATTTTCTTGTCTTTTACGGTTGCAGTCGTCGGAGGAGCCAAGGTCGCCAGCGTCATGTCCACGAGGAAGGTCCCTCCAGCGTCGCTCTCCTCGCGCACGCAGACCGTGATCCTACAGAGCAACACGCGCAAAATCGGACGCAGACTTAACGTGCACCTCACCAAGGGCCAGCACGGCCTCGGCTTCTCGATAACCACGAGAGACAATCCCGCCGGTGGAGAGGCTCCCATTTACATCAAAAATATATTGCCAAAGGTATGTACTCTCTTGGTTTGGGGTCGTCAATTGATTGTATGTTTTTTTTTTCTTCTGGCGACAGATGCTGAGAGTGAGTGTGACCTTGGCTTCCTATTTCAGGGGGCGGCCATCGAGGACGGGAACCTCCGAATCGGCGACCGCCTGCTGGAGGTGAACGGCGTGGAGGTGACGGGGCGCAGTCAGTCGGAGGTCGCCGCCCTCCTGAGGGAGATCCCCATCGGAGGGGCGGCTACGCTGGCGGTCTCTCGGCAGGACCAGCGCAACGGAGAGGCGGCGTCGGGGACGGCCGACTCGACGCCGGAGACCGAGAAGCCCGCGAGTCCGAAGCTGCCGAGACAGTTGGTGAGTGTGCTCGGGTTCGGGTCGCCGCGGGCCGCTTGCCTTGCGCTCGCTTTTGTTTTTTGTCCTTTGTAATGCTGTTATAGCTGCACTTTTTTCATATAGTCACATTGCACTGCTTAGCTCGGCGCTTTCCGCACTTTTTCTCAGTCATAGGAACCTTGTTAACTGCCGTCAATTCTTAGATGTTCAAGAAATTTGCCTGTTAATGAGTTGGTCTGATTAGGAGTTGCCATTCAGACCCAGAGACTTATTCAGCGGTCCGACGCAGTTAACAAGAGAGTCCGCAAAGCCTTTTAATCTGTTGCATTTGCTAATGGAGCCGCGTAAGTCACTTTGGACGCTGCGTTGCTCTGTTGTGTTTGCCTGGTTTCATAGAAAGTGTGAGCATTCAGTAGTTTAGTCGTATTAAGATATGTCATTTCCTGTATATTTCTTGGTTCAGAACCAATAGATATTCAGTAAGTGCTAAGGCTTCCGACTTGGACCGAATGTGTTATTGACTTTGACATTTTGTTATAGGTCTCCTACCACCACCAAGACAGTCTCCCCTTCCTCCGCCAGGTATTATGATCTTTCTCCTCCACTCAGGCACTGTTCATAGAGGACAAGGTTGTAGAGCATTGATAATAGAGTTTTGCGAGTCAGTTGGGCGTGGAGACATTGTCATCACAGAGCATTTTGTGTTTGTAACAAATTGCATCTTGTTTTTTTATAAGCATTGCCTGATAGATTATTAGTTCGGTGTTTGCAATGTGTATATAGCTTGCATTTTCGTGAGATTTCTTATTCAATGTTTTGTTGGGGTGATATCAGTATTTATGCTAATTAATGTATATATTTGCATTCCTTTATCAGAGCTAAATTAATTTCACCAGTTTTATAGTCTATGTACAGTTAGATTTTTTTCCATCCGCTTTTTTGTTTTACAATTTGCTATTAATAATCTAGCATTCAGTTTCTGAACAAGAATGGGGAACATCAGTGCTTCGCCACAAACTAACAACAATCTTTGTGTACCAACAGCCGGCGGAGAAAGCAGCGGAGGACAGCCTCATGTTCCCGTGGAAACAAAGAGAAATCCTCATGTTCGAAATCCCAGTGCATGACTCCGAAAGAGCGGGACTGGGTGAGTTTTTCTTTTGTATCGGCATGTTACTAAGAAATGAGTTCATTGTGATTTTAAATCCTGTAATATAGATGTGAGCTTCCTCTTAGCATGATTTTCAAACATCCCTGCTGATCTGTCCAAATTCCTCCCCGCTTCGTAGGAGTGAGCGTGAAGGGCAAGACGAGCTCGGGTCCGAACGGCTCGGTCGACCTGGGAATCTTCGTGAAGAACGTAATCCATGGCGGGGCCGCCTCGCGCGACGGCCGCCTCTTCCAGAATGACCAGCTCGTCAACATCAACGGGATGTCGCTCCTCGGCAAGCCCAACAGCGAGGCCATGAAGACGCTGCGGACAGCGATGCATCAGGAGGTGAGTGTGTGGTGCCTGGCATCAAGCGATATGGGCGTGCGTCTACAGTTGAGCTGTGTGTGCTGGTGAGGCGCAGTGGTTGAGGCCCTTTTTCCTTTTGCCAGGGTCCAACGCCGGGGATCATCTCCCTTACGGTGGCCAGGAGGATCGACCACAAGGAGAGGTCGAGCCCCTCGTCCAACAACAGGTCAGGTCGGGAGAGTGCCAACAGCCTCCTCACCAACTCGTCTGGCACTGAGACCCTCGGAGGTGCCAAATCATCACCAGCAACACCGACCCCTGACCATTCTGGCACTACTGATGCATCTGATACAACAGTCATTTTTAATGACCATAAGGTAAGGAAGATTCTCACTTGTTGCAATCCACAATGGAAATAAACATACAGTGTATGACCCTTTTATTGTTTGAGTACATTGTCGTGCTAAATTATATTTTTTTATTGATTGGCAGTATGATGGAGAGGGCCATGAAATAGATGCCGGTGATTTTGGCCACATTAACCCAGTTATTCAGAGACTAACTGGGAATAACGGAGCACTAAGAAATGAAAGTTATTATAAGGTACATTTATCAATATAGTTTTTTTTATGGCATATATATAATTGGTTCACATGAGACTGGGATGGCTTCATGAAGAAAATGTGTATATATATTGCTTATTTTTGGATGTTTTACTTGTTGAAGTTGTTTCATGATAACTCTTTGCACACAATAGGCAACACATGACACGTGGAACACCTCCCAGTTGCAACAGCTGGTGATGCGTGGTGAAAGGGAGTCCATGGCTGTGGGAGGGCCAAGCCACAATCCCCTTGGGTCACCGACTGTCAACCTGCCATCCAGAGACACCCTCATCATTCACGACGATGCCGGTAATCATATGTCAAGGTGAGGGTTGGCAGCTTCTAGTGCCACTAATCTTATGTAAATGCTTGAGCTTCTTGTGGAATGCTGAGAGTTGATGAACATCGTTCACTATCTCCGTTTTTTGTGATTACAGAGAAATTTGTCGCTCTGATGGTCCTGGGGCCTCCGCGGGAAGCTACAGTGACCACCCAAGTCAGTCCGACGATGCCTACACAAGCCAGTACGTATTTTTTACACTCTTAATTTGATGAGCAGTTAAACTTCAATCTTTCTGTAGAATCTCTAGTTATCAGTAAGTCATTGGAGATATATAACGATATGCTCTCCTTTTTTCCTATTTCAGAACCTCCCTAGAAGAAAATGCAGCAGGATTTTCTAGGGATCAATTTGGACGGCAAAGCATGTCGGAGAAGCGCCACGCCACCCTGGATGCCAAGAACACCGACACCTATCAGCGCAACAAGAAAGCAAGGTTAGGGATAGAGCTGGAAAGAAGTTGTTTTAGAAATATATTCATCTCTTAATTATTTGAAAATTAGTCAGCAGCGTGAAGTGTTTTAATGATTGTTTGGAATAATTAGTTTGATTTAGATTTCAAAAAGTGTTATAAGTTTTATATTTGCTTTTATAAGGTGAGAATTTTGTCAGTATAGGCAGTTTTTTTTAATTAATGACATAAGTAATTAATTGGAAGTAAAAAAATTATAGAGTTTTTTAAAAATTCCACCATGAAGAATTTTTTACCTCCTGAGACTTATAACCACAATATTCCTCCCCGAAACAGAGAAGAGCGAGAGAAACAAAGACAGATGATGTTGGCACAAGAGAAGCTGGCCGCGAGTCAGGGCATGGGGATGGGATTGGCTGCTATGGAGGGTAAGTGTCTTTGCCGGAAGAGAAGAATTTCCTCTATGCCTCTTGGCAGTTACTACTTTAATTCTTCAGGTGCCCTAAGTTTTAAATTTCTGTGGTGATATCTGAGGCCTATGATTGGAATTTCTCTAAACAGGAATGGATTTTCCCACCAATATAAAAGAAGGCAAGATTTAGTCTTGCATTCAGATTTTTTTCCCCTACATACACATCCTCCCTATTTTTTGTTACATTCTTAAATAAAGAATATAAACACAATAACAGAAAAAGGCTTTCATTGCATATAGTTTTACATAATAGTAGATAACAGTAGACAGTGGTAGTAGTATTATGTTGAATTTATTAACAACTAGGTTCAGTGTGAAGTTGAGTGTGTAGTTCATATAGTAGTTTTCTAAGGTAGAATTATGAGACATCTCGTCATTTTGCTGAGTCATGTAAAACTATGATGTATTTTTTGGATAATGTATATCAAGGTATCTTTTATTTCTGAGACTAACTAACTTACAAAATTAATTTATTTGTATCCTTTTGAGTGCTTGTTGTCTCCTGAAGAAGCTTACCAATTATGCCTTTTTAGGAGTCATATGCTTATAGTCTGCATATCATAAAAATGCATATGTAATGATTTGGTGTTAAGATGCATTTACATTTTGTTTTTGATTATTATTAGCTGTTAAAGATTACAATTGAGTGATGTTACTTAATTGTAAAATGCATCTGTAAAGCTGTGTTTTTATTAGTTGGTCAGCTTCTTAAATGGAAGTCAGTAACAATTAGTCTAGTCTGTTCATGAGTTGATGTTGAGGAAAGACTGCCCTGTCCTCCTTTCTTGAACACGGTGACAGACTGGACTGAATGTTCTTGGCTAACCCTGGTATGGTATCTGTCCTTAAGGTGAAACACGGGAGGAGTTCAAGCCGGGGTCAAGGGAGGTTGGGATTGACCTGCCCACCCAGGATCACCCTTCCTTGAAGGCAAAACAGCCAGAACCCTCAAAGAAATCGAGCCTCAAACCCTCCCTACCAAGTTCTGTTCCAAAGAACCACCATGCCACCCTTGAGATCCCGAGACCCATTCTAAAGCCCTCCCCCAAACTACGCCAGAAGGCCAACACCCTTGTCAATGCTAGTCCAAAGGCAAAGTCCAAACAGCAGTATGCGAGGAAGGGGGGTTCTGAGACGCTCGACAGAACCGTGGGAAGGGGGAGCCTCAAGGGGCATTGGTCTAGGTACCCACGAGGCCCCTTCAGTCCGATCACACGGAGTCTTGAGAGAAATCATAGCAAAGGAAACCAGCGGACCACTTTTGGCCAGGACCTTTCTGCCATGATCTCAAACTGGGGTAACTAACAAGAGTAATGTGGTGCATGTTTTTTTTTTGTTTTTTTTGCCTCTTGTAGTCTGGATAGTCACAAGATATATGATTTGTTTTCTTTTGTTTTTTATCTTAGTTTTATTTGTATGGTTTTTAAATAGAATTTTGCACCGTGGAGGGACATGAAGGATAATTGGTTTTGGTTGTATGGCTTGATTTGTTTTGCATGGGGTTTGCACTGTTTCTTTACTAATTAACTAATTCTCAAACCTGACATATATTGGACTTTATGAATGCATTGCATTACTCTACTTTGTGTTGCACTGATGTTTGCAAGACACCCTGTTCTGGTAGGATTATTTTTTTCACCTGTGTGTGCTATGATTTTTCACTGCACTTTTTTATGATATTGCATATATATGGTATATGTTATAATGTGGTATAGCATCAAGATGGACCTGAAGAACAAGAAGAGAGCATAAATGAATGTGGATATGAATGTTTTGAATGGAAATGATTTGTACATATGAAGATAATATCTTATAATACTATTAATATCTCTCTGCACATGTTTGTCTTGTTATACTCACAGCTTCCCCCAAACCTTTTACCTTTCCTTACCCCCTACCCCCCCACCTCAAAGAAGAAGAAAAACATAGCTAGCATCACAAAGAACTTAATGTAAGAATCCAGATAACAAGAAAAAGTACTTACACAGAGTCTCTTGGTTTTGTCTTATTGTGTAGCTGCCCGTAACCGAGAGTTATTGAGTCGAGACGCAGCTGTGATGGGGGGGAAGCTGCTGGTCCGGGCCTCGTCAGACGAATCTCTCGCCTCTCAAAACCTCCAGCGCACCAACAGTCACGCACATGATCAACCCTCCTCCTCTTCCTCTCAGCATGAGCACTTGCCACCACAGGGTAAAGGTTGGGGGGTTATATTGGGTGCTACAATCTCAAGAGGAATCACGTTTATTTTTTTTCTGGTTTATGTTTTGTTTGCCCTTTCTCTCTCTTTCCCCTTCTCTTTCTCATATGGGTGTTGGATGTCACGTTATCATCAGCCATCCTGCACTCCAAAGTCTCTTATTTTTATTTTTATTTTCTGGTAGACTTTTTTTTACTCTTGGGAGCTTTAGCAGAGAGAATGGTCTCTTTTCATATATATATATATATATATATATATATATATATATATATATATATATATATATATATATATATATATATATATATATATATTGTATATATATATTGTATATATATATTGTATATATATATTGTATATATATATTGTATATATATATATTGTATATATGTGTCAAGTTCAGTTGAAGAATTCAAGTATTACATTTTTTATCAGAGGTATGTCATAGTCAGTGTAGTTTGTCAGATGAAAGAATAAATGGCAGCAAGATAAACAGTGTCAGTCGCTGAGAATGAATTTGAAGCTTAAACTAATATTCACCAGAAAGTCATTTTGCATGAAGTCTGTGATGCATTAAATGTTTTGGACATTGCCTAACAATTCTTAACAAATTTAATATCAATACTTTGTACATAGTTTGGTTATTGTTTTAATTGATAATACATAGAAAAAAAGAATATAAGATTTTAAAGTTTGTTTCTCTTATAATTGCAAAGTTTTCATCCCAATTATAAATGACAACCTGAACATCATTCCATAATATCAACCATAATTTGCTTTCTTGATGCATGATAACAATGCATGTGCACCATGATCAAGTTGTCAGCTGTACAAGGGATTGAGACTTGACTGAATTAAATGCTTCCTTTACACTCCTTCCCAAATTCATATAAATCCTATAAATAATCTCCAGATGCCCTTCGATCACGGCTAGACGTCGGTCCAGGTCTAGGCATGAAGAAGTCTTCAAGCCTAGAGTCCTTGCAGACAATGGTTCAGGAGGTAGGGACAGGAAACTTTTGTTTAAAGGTCTCAGAGGTGCAGAACTTTTGTTCGTTTGTTTGTTTAAAATTTGAGTGCAAATGTAATGATGTAAGTGAGTAGAAGAGAGCTGAGTTTTGCCGTTTTCTCTTTAATGGAAGAAATCATTAATATTAATTATTTTTTATAGGGTTTAGCATCTTGATAGTTTTATTGCCACAGTTGCTACAGATTTATTCATTTACATTTTTGTCTCTCTCTCTCTTTTTTTTTTTTTTTTTTTTTTCTTTTCTTTTCTTTTCTTTTCTTTTTTAAGAAAGACAGAAAATTGATTCTAACTTTCTTCCAGATGGCACTCGAAGAAGAGGGTCACCGCATGGGCTCGGGCAGAGTGCCAAGGGGCCGTGGGTGCAATGAGAGCTTCCGGGCTGCCGTTGACAGGTCTTATGATGTCCCTCTCACCGGTTTAAGAAATAAGATGGAAACTCGTAAGTGTTAGAAGTCTATAAAATGTAAACAATTTTGTATACAGCAGTACTGTCATCAGTAAGAAGTATAACTAGAATTCTTGTACAAATTTGAGAATGTAGTTTGATATATATACTATCAGACTGTGTTTTGTTGGGGTAGATCCTAAAGTAACACTTCCCAAAAAGTAATGAATTAAAATCTTTCTGTGTATGGTAGATTGGTAAAAAAGAGGATAACTTGTCATTGAAGGGTAGTGCAGTCACTGTAATCCAACTCCAAGGGACAATCCTAATAGATTCATGTTTCTCTCCATCTTCTTGACTCCTACCCTACTGTGCACCGACACCGACAACCCTACTCATGTTCGTTCGGACCTTTGGCTTGACCTTCTATGACCCGATGGGGCCTGGATGCTCAATGTTCCTTGATCCCATTGGGGATGTGACCTGGAATCACCTGACTGTGGGGCTACTTGTGATGAATTGTTCATACATTCACCATTTCCTGTGGGTAACACCTGACCAAATTTGTGCATTGCTTGCGTGCAATTTGCCTTTTCCTCTCGACATCTGATGGCGGTGGATCCTGGCACCCCTTCCTACGACTGCTTGACTCCATGTTTTCTTTCTTAATTTTGCGCTTTCTTGTCCTTGGATGTTGCTATGGTGTTCCTTCCTTTTTTCCATGCATGTTCCAACTGTTGTGGCAATTGTTGCTTATCAATGTTGTTTTTTTGTTTTGTTCTTGCTTCTGCTGATGTGTCTTCTGAATGTTGTGTATTTTGTCTGTGCTGATTTCCCCCAGAAGATTTTTTCTCACACGAGGAATATTTTGGATATTTAGTTGCAGAAGAAGAGTCAGAATCCAGTGGCTCTGGCTTCGGCAGAGGCAACAGTCGACAGTCATCAGTGAATTCTGCTGTCGATGATAAATATAAGAAAGTTGGCAAGAAGAAGCCAGGAATCTTCAAAGGACTCGGTTCCATGTTCAGGTATTTGAAATGCATGATGTGAATATTTATTGTGAAATATAGCAGTTTATTTTTACATCAGTATATTATTGAAAGTTTAGATGATACTATTTCATCATAATGGTACCATGGAATATTTTACTAAAAACCTGTCATTTCATAGATTTGGAAAACACAGAAAGAGTATCGACAATCCCAATGGCCTCATGAGCAAAGGTGATGGGGAGGCTGATCGGTCAGAAGGTCGGACAGAAGTTGACCGTGCAGAGGTTGAGAGGCTAGCAGCGGCGAGACGTCTGCAGCAGGAAGAGCATGATCGCATGCAGGAGCAGTACAGGCGCATGATCGAAAACACTGCTCGCAGCAATCAGGTAAAATGTCATTGTCCAATAGGTAGTAAGAGGATCTTCTTAGGTTCAGTTTTATATTTTTTCCATGTATTTGATAAAAGTGGTTTCTCATTATTGATCCAACTGAATATTCTTCTTCCTGCATATCATTAAGCTTATCTCACAATTAACAGCAGCAGCAGCAGCCTCAGATGAGACCAGATGAAGGAGAGCCTTCTCGGTCTGAGAGGATGCATCAGCTGCGTGCAGAGCACCAGCGTCGCCATGCACAGAGGAACAGAACATATCCTACAGATGACTTAGAAGAACGATATGAAAGTGCGATTAAACAGGTAAGAATGAGTGTGGTATCTGGCTTTTGGCTTCTTTTTTAACAGGCTTGATTAACTTCATTACAGAGAAAGATTGCTTATGATGGGCAATAGCCTTTTTTCATGTTTAAGCATTTGCCTCAGTTTCATGAGCATTTGCAGTGGCTTCAGAACTTCTGAATTCTATACATAAATGTTTTTTCAATTAATTTATTTTAATAAAAGCTTTCTAAAGTGTCTTAAGTAAGGCATTGTAGTTGCATGAAAAGGGCTTTAGAGGGACAGAAGCAGTTTAATGGTAATTGTCCATGGTTTTTGCAAAATCTGTTGATATTGTCTGACCTAAATTGGAATCTTCTGGTAAAATAAACATAATGTAGATACTGGTTCTCTTCTTAAAATTTTGATTGTCCGCTTATATTAACCAACTTTAAAGCCCACTTGAAGACTCACACACTTTCCAGCTATAACAGTTATAAGTATTCCCTTTTTTGTCTGTGTGTCTGTATATCATGAGGTGTAATAATATCAGAAAATTGGGATGCAGTGTAAGAGTGATTGGCATGTCTTTTAACTTTTTTCATGTTTAAAAGATACTAATGAATTCTAATGTCGGTGTCCCTTGAAGCTTTTCATGTTTGTGAATGTGAATATGTCCCTTGGCAAAGTCTGGCAATGCATCATGAATACCAACAAGCCCACAAGCAGTTTCTTTATGGCTTAAGGAATTATAATTTCCTCTTAACTATTCTTTGGGAGAATCATGTTGATATAAACGCATTTCTGCATTTCTCTCCTCAGTAGATATGGGCTTCATACATCAGTTGGTATTTCATGTTACAGAGTCAGATCAGCCTTATAATGTCCAGTTCTGTGCAAGTGTGCAACGCTTTTTCCCAATGATGTTACAGGTGCTCGGAGAGAGCGGGGACTCGGAAGCTGACAAGGCTAACAATAACACGCTTAACTCAACTGACACCAAGCCGCAAGTAATGTCCGAGAACATTGTGCATAGGCGCTCCAAAACTCCCAAACCATCCTCCTCATCCTCTTCCTCTGGCAATTCTAACAAAACAAGAGGTGCTGGGAACCCCAATAGACACTCTTTCCATGGGACGAGTTCTAGATCCAATAGCACAGGTGGCACGGTCAATCGCAACTCGTTGTATGTGTCTTGCATCAAACCAGTTGCTGATTCTCCATCCCCTCCTCTGTCTCCCACTTTGCCTAAGCCTGGTCCACCTCCATATGTTCCCCCACCAAACAGATATGTGTACAATGATGCTATCTATTCTAAGCCATGTAAAGAACCTAAGAATACCAGTGAAAAGTCCTTGCATTCTCAACCTCCAAGTTCTGTCAATGATGAAATGCAAGTCAATAACCTTTCCAATTTCATCATACAGAATTCACTGTCAAGGAAGCCTCCCCTTCCGCCTAGAAATAGGCCTGTGAATAACAACTATAAACCTCCCTTGCCTCCTTCAAATCCAAAGCCAAAAACATCTGCTAGTCCTTCTCCAGTGCCAATGAACCAAATGATAACAAACCAAAGCTCTTGTAAGAGTTCTAGTCAATCGTCTGATTTTAGTCAGCTGAACCAAATCAACCCCAACTTTACCTTTTCCTTCTCGAAGTCCATTTCTGGAGCTGTCACTGTCTCTCACTACCCCTCAAGTGACCCTCCTAGTGCAAACCCTCATGGGGATGTTGCAAACAGAAACTTTATCAATCAGAACCTGGGTCAACACAATTCGACTTTTATGGTGTACAGCTCTAACAATCCATGCAATGGTGGTGGTAACATGGGAATGTCTGGTGATAGTGGTAGCAATAGAATGGTGGCGGCGACATCTGTGAATGGTGGAGGAGCCACTTACCCCAACACGAATGGCAGCAACTGCATTCTTAGCACAGCAGCCCCCCTTAGCAGCAATAGCAGCAGCAGCAGTACAGGGAGTAGCAGTGGTGCGCCCCGCACTAACTCCCTCCCGCGCATGGGTGTTAAAGGAAAGGCAGCAGCCATGTCTGCCCGAGGTTCTCCTTGCCCCCCACCTCCACCCCCTCCCAAAGCAGCCCCCAACCCCCTCGCTGCCCTGCGATCTACTGCCATACTAGACAATAGCCTTTTTTGGGTAAGGGTGTGGAACTAATGCACCAGCTTTTTTGCATGTTGCCTGCTCGTGCATGGGAATTTGCCTTTGTCTTTCTTCCACCTTTACATTTATTTTGTTATTTTGACTTCTTTTTTTTCCCCTTTTTACATTTGCTGCACGACATGTTTGTTAAAAATTCAGCTCATTTGCAGATAATGGAAGACTATCTGCAGCATGCTAATTTTAAATGAATTAATTTTCTTTGTCCATTATTGCAGAGTCTCCTTTCATACTACCTTTATTTGCACTGTGCTGTTATAACCTCATTATGCATGAGCCTTTTGAACTTAAGTACATACACTGCATGAACATGTGTGTTGCAGGGCCATAGACCGGCAATAAGCTATACTGCGCCTCGCTCACACAGGCGTTCTCAGAGCCAAGATCTCATTGTTGAGAGACGTGCCTTGAGACGCACTGAGGTAATGAGGGCTCATGTTGCATAGTTTGTATGCTGCTTGTTTGTGGTCATGCATTAGCATAAATTCCATAAGCTTTGGAAATCATTTTTGTATAATGACTTACAAGATTGATATGTAAGTGTGTGCATATATATATATATATATATATATATATATATATATATATATATATATATATATATATATATATATATATATATAATCATGTATATCATTTATATAGAGAGAGATATAGATATAGTGTGTATGTGGATATGTTTGTGTGTGTGGGTGTGCGCGCGTGTGTGCGTCCGTGCGTGCATCCGTGTGTGCGTCGCGTGGTGCGTCCGTGCGTGCATCCGCGCGTGCGTCCGTGCGTGTGCCTGTGCCTGTGCGCATGTGTGTGTGCGTGTGCGTGCGAGTGCGCGTGCCTGTGTGCATGCATTATATGTATAAATATCCACAGAAACGTACAGATACAGAGATAGGGACATTTATAGATACATACATATATATATATATATATATATATATATATTATATATATATATATATATATATATATATATATATATATATATATATATATATATATATATATATTATATATATTATATATATTATATATATTATATATATACATATACATATACATATACGTATAATGCAAATGTATGTATTGAATGCACACACATGTGTGCAACACTCATCACACACATGCACACACTTACTCACAATTCACAATCTCACACACTCCTTCTTTCGCTCTCTCTCACACACACACATACACACACACACACACACACACACACACACACACACACACACACACACACACACACACACACACACACACACACTCTCTCTCTCTCTCTCTCTCTCTCTCTCTCTCTCTCTCTCTCTCTCTCTCTCTCTCTCTCTCACACACACACACACACACACACACACACACACACACACACACACACACACACACACACATATATATATAGACCTAAACAAGCACATACACAAAATTACATAGTAAGAAAACTACAGAATGAGCTACACACACTGTAGTATAGTATGTGTGTGCTTATATGTAATATATTTTTTATGCTGATTTATTTAATGTATGTGCTATACATATGATCTTCTCTTTGAATTATGAATTATTTTGTGAATGATTTTTTTCTGCTACTATTTTTATATAGTATTTTTTGTTATGATTTTGTATTGAATGAGTACATTACAGTAGTTGAAATGTAAATAACATATTGAAGTATTTAGGTATTAATGTTTTGTTTTTTTCGATCATTTTTGTCTGGTGCTATATTTGTGCATTTTGATATTGTATATAGATTTTATTAAGTATAAATCTATAACTTTTACCATATGATATTATGTCAGATATTAAATTATATGTTTATTAGATTTATGTTTGTTAGGAACTTCAAAGTTTGATTTACTATTTTTCTTACTTTCTATGTGTTCCTTTCTTCTTATTCTCCCTCTCAGTCTTTACAGGTGAAAGCTTATTCATATTTGAAATATAACATTTATTGATTTTTTTCTTTTCAATAAACCTGAAAATAAATTTCATTAAACCATATCCAAGAATCATTGCCCTCAAATGTAACTCTAATCAGATATTTCTTTTTTTCTCTCTCTTTCATAATAAGTCATTTTCTTCCACCAAATACATATAAATATGTACATGTACCTTGGTCTAATGATAACCTCTTGACCGCCAGCGTCTGGACCCCGTCCCGAGTGAGCCCAAGCCAGACATCCGGCACATGCGCTCTCACAGCTACGACCTCTATGGTGACAATGGTGGTCGGCCCGGGAGTCGCACTGCCTATGCTGATCCCCACAAATATTCTCATTATGTCAATTATGAACAGATACAACAGCATTTACGGTAAGAGGTTCTGCACTAATCCAGTCTCTCTCCTTTTTTGTGTTGCTTCCGTGAGAGAGTACTGGTATCTGGAAGTATTATGTATATCTCTTTTGTCGATTTCTTTGCACTTGTTTTAGCCTAGATGTCAAGTTTAGCTGTTGCCTTTTTTGTCTCAGAATTGTCTTGTTGCATTTCACATAATAGCAAGACCTAGAGTAATAAGAAACCCTTTTATTACTTAGGAATACTTCTTTTATTAAACAACTAAGATTTCTAACCTCTCTTGGTGTTGGTGTTGGTGGTGGTAACATGTAGTTGCTGTATTCAGATATGAATATTATATGCAGGGATTATTGGTAGCACCGTAAACTAGTACATCATTAAACATCAGAAGCAGAGTGTCCATTCTGCAAAGACATGGGGACTAGAAATGAAAGTGACAGTTTAGTTTATAGATAATTAACTGTTTACAGTTCATGAAAGACATACAGTGCTAACAAAAAATACAAGATGAATAATAAATCATTTTTTTATATACATTTGGATAAAATGTACTAACACCTACACAGTTTTTCCTGTTCACTTGTTATGATGTACATACAGCATTAATTATACAACAAATTCTGTTCTTTTGAAGCAATAACAAATATCCATAACCCCTACATCTGCTACTGGTGTGTACCAGAGAAAACTGCTTCAACTAACCGTTCTAACTATCTAACATCTAATAGTCATGGTGATTGGTCTGTAGCTGTAGCAATATCACATAGTTTTGTCTTAGAACATCACAATATTTATCTTTCTATTTTGCATGCAGCAAAAACAAGGAGCAAGAAAGGCTAAAGAAACTAGCTAGTCAGCAGTACCAAGACTTTCGGGAAAAGCAGACTAGGTGAGATATCCTCTGTTGTAGTGTCTTGTAGCTTTGTTTAACATGCTGGTAAGGAGGTGAAAGTATTCTTTTCCTTTTGTGATATGAAAGAGAAGCAACTGACACAGAATAGCCCCACAGACCTACAAAGAAGGAGGTCTGGAATGCTTAAATATTTGTTCATGTTCTGTGCTTATTGATTTGTCAGTATTATTACTTTCACCTTCTTGCATTTTTGTAATTAGATTAGTAAATCGTGTGTGTTATTGCACCTGATTTATATTTACCTTATTATATGTTTGTAGTACTTGTGTTTCATAATTTCTGCTTGTGTATAATTATAATTTTAGTTGTATTTGTTTTGTTTTTTTACTTTACTGCTTTTTGCCGGGGAACATGAAGGTCCATGCAACTTTAGTGTGTTTGCATGTATTACCAAGTAGCTTTTAATCAGTCATTCTACCAATGAAGCAGAGATTATGCAGTTAAAAAAAGAAATCTTAGCATTGCTTATATATTAGTAAGTTGTTATTTAATTTTATGTTGTCTTTCCTATATATGGTTTGGTGTTTTCATTTGCACTGATTACATGTTTGTGGGAAACAGATCTGGGTTTTCCTATTTTTGATTATGATATTATGCTGTTGTTGGGTCTTGATGGATATTTATCGATGATTTTCCCTTTATTTATATTCCTGAATGTTGATGGCATTAAAAAATTATTTTATCAAACAGGTTTTTTTTTCTTTCATTCTTTTTCTTTCATTCTTTTATATATATATGATTTATATATCCCTTCATTATCATTTTTTTTAGGTGTTTGGACATTAGTAAATATGGTTTGGTGGAACCCACAATTCTTGAAAGTGGAATATCATTATTTTATTGCCATCACCATTCAATATTTTGTGATCAACAGGGTGATGGATGTGTGGAAGATGGAAATATGGCTCTTTCATGTCACTAAAATGCGTCCATTTCAAAGAGATTGACTGCTCTGATTTCTCAACATTCACAAATAGTTCTCACAAAGGATTTATAATTTTCATTTTACTTGTTCCCAAAGGATTAAGAGGTCATTCTAAATAATAAATCCTTTTTATAAATGAAAAAACATACTAAATTGACCATATGTCATATCTGTGTGTGGGCACGCACACGCACGCGCACACACACACTCACTCACTCACTCACTCACTCACTCACTCACTCACCCACCCACCCACTCACTCTCTCTCTCTCTCTCTCTCTCTCTCTCTCTCTCTCTCTCTCTCTCTCTCTCTCACTCAGAAAATCATATACACACACTTATTTCTTCTTCCAGTCTCTAATTGGAATGGATCATGAGAACACAAGCCAGACCATTAGAGTACATCCAATACAATCCAAACCCTGTGGATGACTGTTTTTTTCTATGATTTTTTGGTGTTGGTGTTGACTAACAGTACTATGCACCCCCTCCCCTCGCCCAACCACAGACGGCAGCAGGAATCCTCCCCTACTACCTTGTTGCACAAATTGGAGGAGACGTTTATACACGAGTCAATAATTGCAAGGTATACAGCATGTATATGTGAATGCATGAGCCAGTTTTATAATGGAGGAAGACATGATGGGGGCGTGTCTTCTTGTTTTTTGTTTTGTTTTTTATGTTTTCTTTTGTTATTTTGATTTGTCTTGTATTTTCTTTCCCATTTCTTTTCTCTTCTTTTTCATGTGATTTTGTTTTATTGCTTTAGTTGCACTTGTTATTATTATTGATTTTATAAACAAAACTTGTTTGTATCTATATTTTTTGTTTGTTGATTTTTACTTTGCTCCTAGAATTTTTTTCCTTCATTTCAGTTATTAGTTTCCCTCCCCCTCCTTTGAAAGTAGCCAGTTATATTCTTGATTTTCAAAAGTTGTTTGTCTTTAGTTGATCAAATGAAAGTGAGTGACAATGCTTTCCCAAAACAAAATACAGAAAGCAAATAAATAACTGCCTGTAGATTCACTTTATTAACTCTTGATTGCTGTTTTGCTACTCAGCCTGTATATAAAATATGAGTGATCTTACATTCCTTGTTGCTTTTCAATGTAAGCATTAATTTGTAAGAATAAGTGGACTCACTCACTCACTCACTCACTCACTCACTCACTCACTCACTCACTCACTCACTCACTCACTCACTCACTCACTCACTCACTCACTCACTCACTCACTCACTCACTCACTCACTCACTCACTCACTCACTCACTCACTCACTCACTCACTCACTCACTCACTCACTCACTCACTCACTCACTCACTCACTCACTCACTCACTCACTCACTCACTCACTCACTCACTCACTCACTCACTCACTCACTCACTCACTCACTCACTCACTCACTCACTCACTCACTCACTCACTCACTCACTCACTCACTCACTCACTCACTCACTCACTCACTCACTCACTCACTCACTCACTCACTCACTCACTCACTCACTCACTCACTCACTCACTCACTCACTCACTCACTCACTCACTCACTCACTCACTCACTCACTCACTCACTCACTCACTCACTCACTCACTCACTCACTCACTCACTCACTCACTCACTCACTCACTCACTCACTCACTCACTCACTCACTCACTCACTCACTCACTCACTCACTCACTCACTCACTCACTCACTCACTCACTCACTCACTCACTCACTCACTCACTCACTCACTCACTCACTCACTCACTCACTCACTCACTCACTCACTCACTCACTCACTCACTCACTCACTCACTCACTCACTCACTCACTCACTCACTCACTCACTCACTCACTCACTCACTCACTCACTCACTCACTCACTCACTCACTCACTCACTCACTCACTCACTCACTCACTCACTCACTCACTCACTCACTCACTCACTCACTCACTCACTCACTCACTCACTCACTCACTCACTCACTCACTCACTCACTCACTCACTCACTCACTCACTCACTCACTCACTCACTCACTCACTCACTCACTCACTCACTCACTCACTCACTCACTCACTCACTCACTCACTCACTCACTCACTCACTCACTCACTCACTCACTCACTCACTCACTCACTCACTCACTCACTCACTCACTCACTCACTCACTCACTCACTCACTCACTCACTCACTCACTCACTCACTCACTCACTCACTCACTCACTCACTCACTCACTCACTCACTCACTCACTCACTCACTCACTCACTCACTCACTCACTCACTCACTCACTCACTCACTCACTCACTCACTCACTCACTCACTCACTCACTCACTCACTCACTCACTCACTCACTCACTCACTCACTCACTCACTCACTCACTCACTCACTCACTCACTCACTCACTCACTCACTCACTCACTCACTCACTCACTCACTCACTCACTCACTCACTCACTCACTCACTCACTCACTCACTCACTCACTCACTCACTCACTCACTCACTCACTCACTCACTCACTCACTCACTCACTCACTCACTCACTCACTCACTCACTCACTCACTCACTCACTCACTCACTCACTCACTCACTCACTCACTCACTCACTCACTCACTCACTCACTCACTCACTCACTCACTCACTCACTCACTCACTCACTCACTCACTCACTCACTCACTCACTCACTCACTCACTCACTCACTCACTCACTCACTCACTCACTCACTCACTCACTCACTCACTCACTCACTCACTCACTCACTCACTCACTCACTCACTCACTCACTCACTCACTCACTCACTCACTCACTCACTCACTCACTCACTCACTCACTCACTCACTCACTCACTCACTCACTCACTCACTCACTCACTCACTCACTCACTCACTCACTCACTCACTCACTCACTCACTCACTCACTCACTCACTCACTCACTCACTCACTCACTCACTCACTCACTCACTCACTCACTCACTCACTCACTCACTCACTCACTCACTCACTCACTCACTCACTCACTCACTCACTCACTCACTCACTCACTCACTCACTCACTCACTCACTCACTCACTCACTCACTCACTCACTCACTCACTCACTCACTCACTCACTCACTCACTCACTCACTCACTCACTCACTCACTCACTCACTCACTCACTCACTCACTCACTCACTCACTCACTCACTCACTCACTCACTCACTCACTCACTCACTCACTCACTCACTCACTCACTCACTCACTCACTCACTCACTCACTCACTCACTCACTCACTCACTCACTCACTCACTCACTCACTCACTCACTCACTCACTCACTCACTCACTCACTCACTCACTCACTCACTCACTCACTCACTCACTCACTCACTCACTCACTCACTCACTCACTCACTCACTCACTCACTCACTCACTCACTCACTCACTCACTCACTCACTCACTCACTCACTCACTCACTCACTCACTCACTCACTCACTCACTCACTCACTCACTCACTCACTCACTCACTCACTCACTCACTCACTCACTCACTCACTCACTCACTCACTCACTCACTCACTCACTCACTCACTCACTCACTCACTCACTCACTCACTCACTCACTCACTCACTCACTCACTCACTCACTCACTCAATCTATCATTTCACATGGCATTCGTAATCTAACCATGAACTGGTGAATGAGGTAGGTTAATGTTGTTTTATTTGCAACTTTCTCCAGAACATTAGTTCACTCTGCCATGTGGTCATTATTCCTTATAAGTTATTACCGATATCAAAAACTGTCAGCATAAGTTATATTCAGGTTGAGAATGACAGCTATATATAGTACACCTGGCCTGGCACTCAGACAGTAGATGCAGTGCACATTGCAGTCAGAATTAAATTGGCTAAGCTATAAAAAAATAAAAAAATAAAAATCCATTATGTGAGGAGATTATGCATTGTGTTAAGTGCTTATGAGAGAAACTAATATTGGCAGTATTTCTGTTTTGGATTATTTATCAAGCAAGTTGTACAGTACTAACAATGCTCTGTAACTTTCATGCCTGATGTTTATTTATCAATATTTATAAATCATTATTTATATTCAGTTCTTTTATGACACATAAATGGATTTGTTTCATTTCTCTAATTTTTCTTTGCTATTCATATATACTTCTCCACTTGAGTTTCTCCAATCTTTATTTTATATTTTTGTCTACAAGGTTTCTTTTGCTTCATAGTTTGATTCTTTTCATATTTTTATTGATTGCCTTTTAAAATTGCCATAACCCTATGATCACCACCCAGTGAGAAACTGTAACTCTAACTTGTGGAACCCTTACCTGCAACAGCCGAGAAGCGCGAGAGTACCAGAGCCAAAGAGGGCCTCGTGACTCTGCGAGAGAACACCAGCACCGCCCCGTCAGCAACTACTATGAGTACGAGAGTGTGCAAGCCATGATCTCCCATGCACAGGACAACAATAGCACCTCCCTGCCTCGAAGACACCACCCTCCTCCTCCTGGACCACCTCCTGCCGCCGCTGCTGCCGTCGCTAAAAGTTAGTGTTCATAGTTTGCTGTCATGGTTTCATGCCATGTTAATATTGATGGTCCTAATTATTTTGCTTTCTCTACTATGCGACTTTGAAACAAATATTGTATTACATTATTCATGTTGTTGTTTTTTTCTACTTATTAATGGATTATTTTTTTTTTCCAGATGCTAGTAATAACAATACCGGCCACAACAACAATTTGTTCCCAGGCGTATCTCAGCCACACCACATGATGATGTACAAACAGATCTCTGGCTCCTCAGTCCACAGTACTCATTCTGCACATGGAGGACAGATGGGCAACTACGGACAGACTGTGTCAAACATGGGGCACAGAGGGCATAATGAGCACTCTCGTGACATGCCCCACCAAGAAGGCCTTTATGGGTCAAGCTATCGACCTGCGAGCCACTACACTGGGCCACATCATAAACCTCCGCCACCACCACCACACCACCATACCACCACACTAACAGTGCCAGGTTCCAAAGTGTGAATAATGCTGACGCAGGAATACGTGAAGGTGCTGTAGGACTTTTGTATGTGTGTGTGTGTATGTGTGTAAATAAATATTGGCTACTTTCCTAATCTGAAGTTTATAATAAACTGATTAATTTATTGAAAATCAAAAATATAGATTGTGCATAAATAGGAAAGTCAATTTTAAAATATGTATATAATAGTGAATATAGTGACAGTGCTGTGAAAACTGGTGTACAAATATTTTTTATTGTAAAATGTGGGGTGAGCTCCCATGAACTATATAGTGGGGTGTTGTTACTTAATATGAATGCCTGTGTAAACGGTATACAGAACAGCATTCCAGAGTGTACAGTGCATGTCATCGGAAGGTCAGAAGGTAAACAATATCTTCAGTGCTTTAGTAAACCATTTCTATAGAATTTCTAAGGGACCAAATGAGCCTAGGTTCTTGAATATTGTCTTTGTACCTGGATGATGTGCAACAGTAAGCCTTCATATTTAATTTATACTTCTTATTTTTAAAAATTATAAAATGGTTAATAATCAAAGGTAATTTAATATATCTCATAGAAATGATGGCCTTATGAGTTCAAGGTTGCATCAGTCTAATGCTGTGAGTCAGTCACAATTGTTTGGAAAAGAAATTTGAGTGAGGCAGCTCCTATTTAGAGCTTTGCTATATTTTATCAGTAAGTTAGGTTTAAGCTTTTAATGAAATTTTTATTTTTCAAAAGTGCTCCAAATTTCTTTGGGTGGTGCCTTAAATGTTATAATGGATGAATTTTAAATCATCCATAAATTAGTCTGTCTAAAAACCCAGGAACTGACTCATCGCATGATTTGTGAAAATAGGCCAACCTGACACAGTTTCTGTATGACCTATGATAGTGCATACATGTAGACAGAGTGAGTGAGAAAGAGAGATTTTATAGTCTGTATATTGAACAATATATATTGGGATTTGTAAGGGAAAAGAATCCTCTAAAAACATTTTTAATTTTTTATAGATGACCTGTTGTGCTTTTTAGAGCTTTGACATAAAAAGAATCCTATTTGACAAGTGACTCTTCTAGGCTCTATTTTATATTATATTCCCACTCCTGAAGAATTTAAGGTGTGCCAAAGTGACAAAGAGTTACATTCCTGGGTAGGCTTCTTACCTGTTCCTCTGGTTGTTCTGGCCTCATTTGGGGTCACTTACGGCTCTGTCAATGGTGTACATATTTTGTAAAACAATTTTTGTATAAAGTCAAGTACAGTGCTTAGGTCTGTAAGATGCAGTTTTTTATACTATGTAAATTAAGGCAGCTCTGACCTGCTGTGCTGTGTCGTATTGTGCTCAAGATGCAGCTCTTGTCTTTTTTTTATGTATTTGAAATTCCTCCAATACTCCAAAGGAAAATAAAGGACAATTTAGTATAATGTGTATTATTTACATGCATTTTTTATCCATATGTCACCTATCATGGCACTATTGAATGCAGTATAATATAGCAATTTTCTTTGATGGTACAGTTGTTTTTATTGTACAGTGTGCTGACATGAGTGACAATTATTCATTGACTGTGTACTGGCATTAAGCTCAATTATATACCATCACTGAAACATATTCATATGCAAAAGTGCATTACAGATATTCTTGAAAGACAAGATGAAGTTGGAGCAATGGAAATCTATGTGTCTATATGCCATCAGTATATTCTTTAGTATGGCACAGTAGGTCTGGCATATCCAAGTGACTGGTAGGAACATACTAAAATTTACCTGAGTGAAACACAGACACAGGTCATTGTCTCGACAGTAGAAGTAAAAAGTTCACTTACTAAATCTTATTCTCCACTAGCTGCCTTCCACTCACCCGCACCAGTGTCGAGCCACAGATTTACCCTCAAATTGGAAAAGCAAGAGCGGCATCAAAATGTGCAGGGAGGGAGCCTCAATGAGGAGGTATGCACGTAAAGTATAGCCCAATGAGAAGAAACCACAGTGTAATTACTCTACAAAAAACACTTATTCTTGTATGCACACTTGCCACATAGCAAAGGAACCATCAAGTTTATTTGTTTCATCTCATGCTCCAACAAGCAATAGAGGCAGCACTCATCATCACATGGCAAACAGGTAAGGGAAATAAAACAATACTAGTGGCCATCCTCAGCCTGAGATCACACTGTCAACGGTTGGACAAGGGAACATGAATGGCACGGAGTGGACGGAAGGGAATTATTGTTTCTGGGGAAACAATGAACTTCTAAAAGCTAACCTAGTAAAACTGACATTAAACAATGGCTCTCGACATGTGTTTAGGTCTTACACCTAAACACATTCCTTATATGAAAAAAACTATATTTTTTTGAAATCCTGCAGCCCTTTCTCCTCCCCCTCTTCCTCCTCTTCCTCTCCCTCCCACTACCCATCCAAACACGTCTAATGCAGATCAGTGGTAGTCGACCTGACCGATGCTCGATAATGCATCATAGAGCCACGTTATATATACACATCCTTTCTTATGTATATACACGTTATAGTTTTTATCAAAAACGCTTTGTTGCAGGAGTGGGTTGCGAAACTAAGGAAGCAATTCGTAGGGATCGCAGCCACTGCAGCTCCTGCCAGACTGACCCAGTGCCTGACGGAGAAGTGCTGCGGGGTTACAGAACCCTCCCCGTTCGAATGAAAAGAAAAGGATGATATTTATATATCTTGCGAATAAGCCAATTCCTAAAACTACTAGTACAAACTACTTCAGAGTGAAACATCAAAAATAAAAGAGATATTCCTAAATGAAAACATTAGCGGATTCGGGTAATCACTGTAAGGAAAACCACCTAATTGCTATTCCGACAGACTACGACCTACTACCTCACCTTTGTCACAAATGCTCAAAAGCCCTTACATAAATAGGAAATACTTATGGTAAGAAGAGAATAATTTATATCTTTGATACATACACGGTAAACTAAAGATTTTTTTGAAACGAAAATTGAAGCGAGTAAATATACATTCTTTATTTACATACACACACTCATACAAATACATACCTTCCCGGTGTTCACATACACACATACCACAAATTGAAGAAAAACATTTCATCACATTTTACATGTCACAGCGACATTTTGTTTTCGAAGCGAAAAGGTGTAATATGGCAACATCTACGATGAGAACAGTCATCACTTTACTCAAAAGTTTCAAAGATTATTAAGCAAGTATCTTGAGTTTTCCTTATATGGAAAAAGCTTTCAGCGCGGAGAAAGAGAGAGAAAAAAAATTGAGTGAAGGCCCCAGTTCCGTTTTACAGAAATTCTGGATTAACATCTACTGGCGGTGCGGGATTTGAACGCAGGTTAGCAAAATTGCTAGACGAGATCGCAACCACTGCACCACACAGAATACAGGATGGGATAGGGAGAAAACAAGATATACAGATGCATGTAAGAAGACTGAGAGTTATGTTCAACATCCTGTCCAACCTTCGTTGTTGCAAGGGGGCTGGAAGGGGAGTATAGGTTTTGGGATGGGCAGGGCAAACCGACATTAACTATGTTGTTCTGCTCAACCATCATCAGCAATAGGGTCCTGCACGACACAAGGACACGACACAAAGTCTCCACTTAGTCCAGATGGGCAGAAATAGCCCATCTTTAATCTTGCATTTGCTTAATATGGCCGCACCTAAGTATTTAAGGGGCCCTCTTGTCTTGGCCAATCCTCTGATAAGCACAGAGGTATCTAGTTTTAACATCAAGTAAATACAAAGAAATCGCAACCAAAGTGCAGTAACCTTAGCATAGGTGGGCTTGCTCCTAATACCTCTACATAATCAACACATAAGATTATCCTTTTGACAGCAGATGTATTACTATATTTTTGCTAACAGTTAATTCTTATGTTATGAACTGAATGATAAGTGGTGATATATCACTTTGTTTAATGTCAGTAATAACAGCAGTGATGTATATGAATATGTAATAAGGATTGTGAGTATGATAGACAACGAATATTAGTGTGATCATAATGTTGAAAATCATACTGGTAGTATTGAGCACACAACTCTTTGTTATTGTAATTATCATCAACATCGCTATCTTTATCCATAAACATCTATGCGACTAAGAGTTATCATTAAATAGTATAGAAATAACAAAAATAAAGATACGAAAACGCTATCTATTTTTTTCTGCGTTATAAACGACGTGCTAATCTTGCGTGTGATTATAACCAGTTGCTGTTATCACTCACACCCACTTACGTTATCTTGCATCTTTTATTTGAACAATGAGCATCAGTTTTCATTTGAAGATTACGGGGAGTGACAGATATTTAAAATTCCAAATTTGTATATCATAAATGTAAAACATTAATGATACCCCAGAAATATATGGTTGTAAGATGCCTTTTTGCAGGATTAGAGGAAACCACAATACAAAATCATGATTTTCTGTTCCAAGCATGTGAACCGAAATTTAAAATCGATTTCTAAATGCAAGAATACTTCCAATGTTGTATAAACTCTATCGACAGTAAGCGTAATTTCTATTATAATTTCATGAACAAAAATCTAACTATACTTTAAACTTCAGCATGAAAACAACACTAGAATGTCAGGATGAATTTAACGTTGAGTGAATGGCCAAATGCTTCATCTACCTTTCTATGCATTGCACCCTGTGACACTTACAAAAATCGGTCGTTGTTATCAGGATGATTTTTTACATATTTATTATCAATGTATTAATCGATTAGTATTTCTTTACATTTTCTTTATCTCAGTCTCAGCAATATTTCCTGGTGAATAATTTTTTTCCACACACGTGTGACTTTTCATGCCACATCATCTCACAGGTGCGGTGAATATCATAAACACTCAGGGAAATGCACACAAGCCCACATGCGCGCGAACGCACACACACACACACACACACACACACACACACACACACACACACACACACACACACACACACACACACACACGCACGCACACACATACACACACACACACACACACACACACACACACACACACACACACACACACACACACACACACACACACACACACACACGCACACACACACGCACACACATACACACACACACACATACACACACACACACACACACACACACACACACACACACACACACACACACACACACACACACACACACACACACACACACACACACGCACACGCACACGCACACGCACACACATACACACACGCGCGCGCGCGCATACACATAAAAACAGATTATCTACACCTCTGCCCCTCCCAAACAGCATGTGCCCAATGCCCTCCATATGTGCTAGCTTCCCCTCCTCCCTATCCCAGTGACTATAGAACGTCAATGTTCCTGAGAGACTTTTACAGTGAAGTGATTCTGGGAACATTTTTTTACCGTAAGCATAGCCTTAGCGCTCCACAGAAAACGTAGCTCCGTGTCGTTTTAATTAGCGAACGCTCATGAAACGTAAATCTTTCTAAAGGTTTCCGTTATGTTACGGACGACAACGAATTTCCTTCGTTAGTCTGACATCTATCTGTTTTGCAAAATATAGCTAGTGACCTATTTGACGATGAATGGGCTAGGGAGGCCGACCGAACGTTATGAAAGGCAGTTCCCACTTTAATTGGGTTAATTAATTTTGTAAAATGAAATAAGGTATAAAAATATCTTAGAACTGGTTTAGCGTGTACTATATATTCCCAATACTGAAATTATAGTAAAAGTGCGGGCCGTGCATAATGACCTTTTTTGGAGGGGGTACAGTAAAGAAAGAGAGAGAGAGGGGGGGGGCTGAAATTGATAGGAGGGTGTCAGTGTGTTGAGTAAATATTATCTAGAACCGACAGCTAATTATTTAAAATACAAATCACTTAGCAGATGCAAACTCAGTATAATGCGTTTGAAATGAAACATTGGTGAACCTGGAATAGACATAACATGTGGTTCTTGCATATTTACCAAAATAGCTCTTTTGAAGAAAAAAAATGCTTATAACACTGAAACAGGAAACACGCCGGCCACAGAAGTCTTTATATTTCGGAAAGACAAGAGAGTGAATGAATAAAACAAGACATTATTTTAAAACTGAACACTGACTGTCACAGATAGTCCGTCAGTCATAATGGCATTTACGTTTTAGCATTATGGCGATTTTCAGTGTGCTTACTGGGTACTTTTTTCAGGTCATTGTGTCTATATACGTAAAAGAACTTGATGGCAATACACACGTACATGTAACACATACATGCATGCACATTTTTCGATGGATCTCGATTCGTTTTGGAAATTTTACACAGCTGTAGAGACTGCCAGATGGTTTCTGGTAATTTATTATGCAGCGTATATAAGTGGCAGTAAATGTCAATCGGGATTCGCGATATCTGCCGAGGTGTTCAGATTTTCACCGT